ATTCCGTTTGTAACATCCTTAAATATTCGTCGTAGACCCCATAATATATATATATATATATATATATATATATATATATATATATATATATATATATATATATATATATATATATATATATATATATATATATATATATATATATATATATATATATATATATATATATATATATATATATATATATATATATATATATATATATATATATATATATATATATATATATATATTCATAATCAGCATAAAATTCAAAATCGATTTAATGATGTCCGTCTGTCTGTTGAAATCACGATACAGCCCACATTATTTGACGTAGAGCGCCAAAATTTATCAGAGCTATTTGTATTGTGTCTAGGATGGTTGGTATTGAAAATGATATATCGGTCCACGTTGTGGTATAACGGTACCTCCCAATATTCGGTATTTTGATGATTTTTGACACATTTTTTCAAGAATTACTCTGAAAATTGGTAGTAGTAGATCATAATGAGTTCCAGTTCGAGTGGCTAGTCATTGTAATTATAGGTGCACGTTTTGGTATAGCCCCCATATAGCGGTACCTCCCGACATTCGGTAATTTGGTGATTTTTGGCACATTTTTTCACGGATTTGTCTGAAAATTGATATTTGTTTTTTGATGATTTTAGCGACATTGTTTACCGGAATCATATTCATATTTGATATTTAAAGTTCGTAATGGATACTACATCATAAGTCAAAAAATGAGAAATGAGGTCCACGTCTTTATATAGGCCCCATATAAAGGTACCCCCGATATTCGGTATTTTGATGGTTTTAGCGACATTATTTATCGGAATCGTTCCAAATTTGGCATTTGAAGTTCGTAATAGATACTGCAGCATAAAGCAGTAAATGGGCCATTTAGGTCCACGTCTTCATATAGTCCCCATATACCGTACCCCCCGATATTCGGTATTTTGATGACTTCAGCGACATTATTTACCGGGATTGTTTCAAATTTCGCATGTGAAGTTCGTAATGGATACTTCAGCCCATGCCAGAAAATTGTCTGTGCAGTTTCACGTCTTCGTATAGCCCCCATATAACGGTACCCCCATATTCGGTATTTTGATGATTTTTAGATACATTATAAACAGGATTTTCTTCAAGTTTCGCATTTAAATATTGTAATAACTTATGACAAAAGTTGCCTATGCAGGCCCAAGACGTCGTATAAGCATTCGGTATTTTTAAGATTTTAACAGAATTTTTAACGGATTTTATTTTTTGGAAATCGCCAAATTTGTACCAAATGGTGGAGGGTATTAAAAGTTACAGCTTTTTTACTTGTTAGAAAGTAATATTTCCTTCAGTCACCTCTAGTGACCCATTCATATGTCGTAACAAATCATCTACTGTAATTTGTTATGAATTATCCACCTCTAGTGAACAATTTTAGTACAAATAATTATATTCATTTCAAATTTTAGTTGTCACGTACAGTGACTTTGATTTAAAAAGTAAAAAAGATCTTCAGCGGTTGATTTGCAATTACCTAACCACCATTTATTGTGCCTCAGATACAAGATTTGTTTTTAATAAATGTTTCAACTCTGTCAATAGTACTAAGTAATTTCGGACTCGATCAATACATTTTACATTTTTTTAATGTCGCCAATTTTTAGTTTCTATTAATATTTAATAATGTTATAAATACATTTTCAAGTACCAATTCAGACGAATAGTCTCGTAATCCACATTTTCATTTGCTTTAAATGGATGTATGTATAACTTTAGTGTTGATGCGCTGCCACTTTTTTATATTATTCATATATTTTCCGTGTTCTTCTTCAATATTTCCGTGTTGCCTTTATTTCTTTTCTTTTTAATTATAGGACCATCCAAAGATGGAATTTTAAGCTATCATACTCCCAAACACATTTGTTCTAGTTCCATTCAATATGATGGATGGTAATATATCACTACCAATTAACATGTCAACCTCATTTGATTGTAAGAAAAGAGGATCTGCAAGTTTTAGATCGCGGATTTCATTCGGCGTAGACATTGGAATAGATTCAGTGGAATTGTTTTTCGTTATGTTTTCGATAACTAAAGCGTTTACTTCTACAAAGATATGTTGCACATTTTATTTGTATACGCAACTACTGAACCACTTATTCCGCTAAAATGGAAATTAGACTTAGTTGTTGCACTCCCTATTCTTTCTACCGCTTTAGTTGTTATAATTGATCGTTTCGATCCAGTGCCTAATAAAGCTCTAGCTGTAAAAGTTTTCCCACAGTGCTTGATTTTTACAAGCGCAGTTGGTAACAAAACATCACCATCACTGATTGATAAATTGATTTCCGTATTTGATCTTTGGAAGGTAGAACTTGTAGTACAGGGCATGTCATATGTCGTGACATGATTAATTATAATATTTGCCTCTGAAGCTCTATGTGATATAATTGATGTCGTAGAACTTCTTGGTAGAGTGTCTGCGTTTCCAATGTCCAACTTAGTGTGATGTTTTTTCTTACAATATAAACATCTACGAGCACTGAAACATTCCCTTGTGTTATGTCCACTTTTCAAACAGTTATTACATAAACCTAGATCTCTTATGAATTTAACTCTCGTCTTGACACTCATACTATTAAATCTTGAAAAATTTCTTAAAGTATGATTTCTATTACACATGACACATCTATTTCATTGTGTCGATTGCGCTTTTTGATGCGCTTGAAATTCATCATTAAAGGCCGTTGAAGCTGCTATATTTCTTAGACTGTCTATTCTCTCTAGGACTCTATGTTTGTTTTTTGGAAAATCTTCCATTTGTGACCATTTGGGTAGCTCTGAATGTGATTCGAGCGATTGTGATTCAGTCTTTGCTGCCAAAAGATTGAATAAAATCTTTAATTGATTATCTACCAGCACACTCACATTTTCGTATCGCACTGATAATGCTTCCCATGCCAACGAGAAATTCTGATCAGATAACGGGTACCGATCAACAATTCTACCAGCCTCACCCTTTGTTTTGTTACGCAAATGATAGAGTTTTTACGCAGGCGTGAGACTGGGATGGTTTCCATATATGGCCGTGAACATGTCTCTAAAAGTTGGCCATTCTTCATAACTTTCGTAAAAGCCTTGAGTGTCACAAGGTGGCACTTCAATACAAATCTCTGACATATCAAATGTTGTACCCGGAGGATACACAGCTGAGATGTGAAACAATGGCGGATTTGTAACATCGCCTCTAGCGGTATTATTTTGATTTTGTTTTCTATTTTTCAATATTTCCAACAAATTGGCCTTTGTTGTTTGATAATTGTCTCTGGCGAACACAAACATATCTCTAGCTCTCAATTTGTAATCTTCATCTCCCTCATTAAAATATACACTTTCAAATGCACTGCGTACATTGTGCCAATCTTCATCCATTGATTCTAATTTTGTTTCTAATAAGGAATCAAACAGCTCGTTTTCTGCTGTGCTTCCTATTTTAATGCAAGTTTGAATAAGGTTTTCGGTCTCGTATTCTAATCTAGTATACATTTTAGAAACCATTTTGTAATATTAATTTAAATTAGTTATTTAATTTATTTTATTAGTTTTTATATAATATTGATATTTATTGATATTTTTAAAATTATTTTATTATTTATGAATCATATTATTATTGAATATACAAACACTTCAACTATCAATTTATTTTTAAATTTAAAAATAAATGAAGTTTTGTAAAATATAAAGTGTGTTTCTATTGTATATTCTCGTGTTCTCAATAAATGTTAATTTTTTAAACTTTAAGAAACCATTTTGTAATATTAATTAAAATTAGTTATTTAATTTATATTATTAGTTTTTATATAATATTGACATTTATTGATATTTTTAAAATTGTTTTTCTTATTTATGAATTATATTATTATTGAATATACAAACACTTCAACTGTCAATTTATTTATAAATTTAAAAATAAATAAAGTCTTGTAAAATATAAAGTGTGTTTGTATTGTATATTCTCGTTTTCCCAATGAATGTCAATTTTTTTAACTTTAAGAAACCATTTTGTAATATTAATTTAAATTAGTTATTTAATTTATTTTATAAGTTTTATGTAATATTGATATTTTTATTATTTATGAATTATATTATTATTGAATATACAAACATTCAACTATCAATTTATTTATAAATTTAAAAATAAATGAAGTTTTGTAAAATATAAAGTGTGTTTGTATTGTATATTCTCGTTTTCTCAATAAATGTATATTTTTTAAACTTTAAGAGAAATGTTAATATTGTTAATTTTTAGATTTATGTATGTTGTTGATTTATGTGCCTTTTTAATTAAGATCTATTTTTATTTATTTGTTCCTATTAGTTTTATTTTTTGTTATTATTCGATTGTTTATTATTATTATTATTTACTAGCTTTATACGTTACGTTACTCGTCGCAGTAACTGCACAATTCTTTTTCACCACACCAGCTGATCGATAGTCGAACAATGGTAGATGACAGATCGATCAAAGAAGCAATGAAACAGATGACAACAGTTATTTTTGTTGCTAACGAATGTAAGCAAAACAAAGGTATCAAAAAATGATGCAGCAAAGTGAGAGTGGTCTTTTTTATGGTGTTAGTGTATGTGTTAATTTCCATTGTGTTAAGCAACAACAAACATACATATAAAAGAGTTTTCCTGTATAAAATAACTCTGTTGATTATTTGGCAACAGAACAAAAGCAAAGCACCAAATTAAAAATGAATTGTTTTTTTTTTCTGCAAATCAGCCGATTCTTTTTATTAAGGGCTCGAAGGACCATGTACAAGTTCCGATACAGGTGTATGGACTTGTAGGGGTTCTAAATCGACAGAGTAGATTTAGATCCGGAAGTGTATTATTTGTTGCACAAAGACGAACAACAAAACTATGAATAATAGACAACACAACAAGTATACAGGCGATACTTACGTGTTGCTAATAAGACACTGGTAATTAAGGCTTCAATAAAACACTCTGATGGTCTGAATTTATGTATTTATTTGTTAAAACAATTATTTTTGTTGTTGCAAAGTTTAGCTTCTTGCTTAGCGATCAATCTCTCTTGATGACAGCAGGTAATTGTTGTGGTATCGATTGTTGGCCTATCGGTATAATGAACCAGGAACCTCAACACTGGTTGAGTCAGGAATCTCCGCTATTCAGATCAGAAAATATGTACATTGAGTTAATCAGAGGTATAACTATAGAAAGCATATATGTAAATGCCTATATAATTATTAACAAGTAAAAAAGCTGTAAGTTCGGCCGGGCCGAACTTTTAATTCCCTCCACCATTTGGTACAAATTTGACAATTTCCAAAAAAAAAATCCGTTTAGTATTCTGTTAAAATCTTAAAAAATACCGAATGCGTATACGACGACGTAGACCTGCAAAGGCAACTTTTGTCATAAGTTATTACAATATTTAAATGCGAAACTTGAAAAATCTGTTTATGATGTAGGTAAAACCAGCAAAATACCGAATATAGGGGGTACCGTTATATGGGGGCTATACGAAGGCGTGGACCTGCACAGACAATTCTCTGGCATGGGCTGAAGTATCCATTACGAACTTCACATGCGAAATTTGAAACAATCCCTATAAATAATGTCGCTAATGTCGGGGGGGTACGGCATATGTGGGATATACGAAGACGTGGACCTACATGACCCATTTTCTGTTTTATGCGGAAGTATGTATTACGAACTTCAAATACGAAATTTGGAACGATTCCGTTAAATAATGTCGCTAAAATCATCAAAATACCAAATATCGGGGAGTACCGTTATATCGGGGCTATATGAAGACGTGGTCCTACATGGCTCATTTACGAACTTAACCTGCCCACTGGCAAAATACACATGTGTGCAAAATTTTAGCCTTCTATCTCAATTTGTTTGAAAGATAGCGTGATTACAAGAGACACACAGACAGACGGACATGGCTAAGTCGCCTTAGAATTTTACACTGATCAAGAATATATATACTTTGTTGAGTCTGACATGAGTATTTCGAGGAGTTACAAACGGAATGACAAAATTAATATACTCTTCATAGTATGGTGGAGGGTATAAAAATAAAATAAGCTTTATTATATCTAAACCAGACACATTTGAAACTCAACAAGTTAAAAAGCAGTAAGTTCGGCCGGGCCGAACTTTGAATAGCCTCCACCATATGGAACGAATTTGGAAATAAAATTCTGAAAAAATGTTGGTAAAATTTTAAAAATACCGAATATAGCCGTTATATTGGTGCCTATACGACGTGGACCCACACAGGCATTATTTGTCATGAGTCATTACCAAATTCAAATTCGGAACTTAAAATAAACGCGAATAATGTAGCTAAAATCATCAAAGTATAGAAAATAGGGAGGTACCGTTAGACAATTTTTTGTCATTTTCTGTAGCATCCATTACGAACTTCAAATACGACATTTCAAACAACTTCGGTGAGTATTGTACCTAAACTCGTCAAAATACCGAATATAGGGAGGTACTGTGTATATGGCGCTTATACGAAGACCTGGACCTGCATAGACAATTTTCTGTCACAGACTGGAGTTTCCATTACGAACTCTAAATGCATAATTTGAAACAATTTTGGTGAATAAAGACGCTAAAATCACCAAAATACCGAATATAGGGAGGTACCATTATATGGGGGCTATATGAAAACGTGGACCTGCACAGACAATTTTCTGTCTTAGGCTGTAGTATCCATTGCGAACTTCAAATACCAAATTTTGAACAATTCCGATTAATAATGTCGCTAATATCATCAAAATACCAAATATCGGGAGGTACAGTCATATGGGGCCTATACGAAGACGTGGACCTGCACAGACAATTTTCTGTCTTAGGCTGTAGTATTCATTTCGAACTACAAATACTAAATTTGAAAAATTCCGGTGAATAATGTCGCTAAAATCATCAAAATACCGAATATCGGGTGGTACCATTATATGGGGGCTATATGAAAACGTGGACCTACCATTTACGAACTTAACCTGCCTACTGTAAAAATAAACATGTGTGCAAAATTTTAGCCTTGTTTCTCATTTCGTTCGAAAGATAGCGTGATTACAACCGACAGACGGACAGACAGACGGACACAGCTAAATCGACTTAGAATTTTACGCTGATCAAGAATATATATACTTTGTTGGGTCTGACATGAGTATTTCGAGGAGTTACAAACGGAATGACAAAGTTAATATACCCTCCATAGTATGGTGGAGGGTATAAAAATGAGCCATGTAGGTCCACATCCTCATATAGCCCCCATGTAACGGGAGCCCCCGATATTCGGTATTTTGATGATTTTAGCGACATTATTTAGCGAAATCGTTCCAAATTTGGTATTTGAAGTTCGTAATAGATACTGCAGCATAAAACAGAAAATATCTGTCTGTCCGTCTGTCTGTTGTAATCACGCTATCGTAAATGGGCCATGTAGGTCCAAGTTATCACATAGCCCCCATATAACGGTAACTCCCGATATTCCGTATTTTGATGATTTTAGCGACATTATTCACCGGAATTGTTTCAAATTTGGCATTTGAAGTTCGTAATGGTTACTACAGCGTAAGACAGAAAATTATCTGTGCAGGGACACGTCTTCGTGTAGCCCCCATATAACGGTACCCCCCGATATTCGGTATTGTGATGATTTTAGCGACATTGTTTACCGGAAGCGTTTCCAATTTGGTATTTGAAGTTCGTAATGGATACTACATCCAAAGTCAAAAAATGAGCCATGTTGGTCCACGTCTTCATATAGTCCCCAAATAACAGTACCCCCCAATATTCCGAATTTTGATGATTTTAGCGACACTATTTACCGGGATTGTTTCAAATTTCGCATGTGAAGTTCATAAAGGATACTTCAGCCCATGCCAGAAAATTGTCTGTGCATGCCCACGTCTTCGTATATACGGTATTTTAATGATTTTAGCTACATTATAAACAGATTTTTCTTCAAGTTTCGCATTTAAATATTGTAATAACTTATGATAAAAGTTGCCTATGCAGGCCCACGTCGTTGTATAAGCATAAGGTTAAGTTCGTAAACGGGCCATGTAGGTCCAAGAAATCATATAGCCCCCACATAACGGTACCTCCCGATATTCGGTATTTTGATGATTTTTGCGACATTATTCACCGGAATTGTTTCAAATTTGTCATTTAAAGTTCGTAATGGATACTACAGCCTAAGACAGAAAATAATCTATGTAGGTCCACGTCTTCGTATAGCCCCCATATACCATACCCCCCGATATTCGGTATTTTGATGATTTTAGCGACATTATTTAACGGAATCGTTCTAAATTTGGTAAATGAAGTTCGTAATAGATACTGCAGCATAAAACAGAAAATGGGTCATGTAGGTCCACGTCTTCGTATAGCCCCCATATATCATACCCCCCGATATTCGGTATTGTAATGATTTTAGCGACATTATTTACCGGTATCGTTTCAAAGTTGGCATTTGAAGTTTGTAATAGATGTTGCAGCATTAAACAGAAAATGGGCCATGTAGGTCCACATCTTCGTATAGCCCCCATATACCGTACCCCCCGATATTGATGATGATGATGATTTTATCGACATTATTTACAGGGATTGTTTCAAATTTCGCATGTGAAGTTCTTAATGGATACTTCAGCCCATGGCAGAAAACTGTCTGTGCAGGTCCGCGTCTTCGTATAGCCCCCATAAAACGGTACCCCCTATATTCGGTATTTTGATGATTTTAGCGACATTATTTAGCGCAATCGTTCCAAATTTGGTATTTGAAGTTCGTAATAGACACTGCAGCATAAAGCAGAAAATGGGCCATATAGGTCCAAGTCTTCATATAGCCTCCATAGACCGTACCCCCCGATATTCGGTATGTTGATGATTTTAGCGACATTATAAGCAGATTTTTCTTCAAGTTTCGCATTTAAATATTGTAATAACTTATGACAAAAGTTGCCTATGCAGGTCCACGTCGTCGTATAGGCATTCGGTCCTTTTAAGATTTTAACAGAATTTTTAACGAATTTTATTTTTATACCCTCCACCATACTATGGAGGGTATATTAATTTTGTCATTCCGTTTGTAACTCCTCGAAATACTCATGTCAGACCCAACAATTCGGTATTTTGATGATTTTAGCGACATTATTTAACGGAATCGTTCCAAAGTATCGTAATAGATACTGCAGCATAAAACAGAAGGTCCATGTAGGTCCACGTCTTCGTATAGCCCCCATATACCACACCCCCTGATATTCGATATTTTGATGATTTTAGCAACATATTTTACCGGAATCGTTTCAAAGTTGGCATTTGAAGTTCGTAATAGATGCTGCAGCATTAAACAGAAAATGGGTCATGTAGGTCCACATCTTCGTATAACCCCCATATACCCTATCCCCCAATATTCGGTATTTTGATGATTTTAGCGACATTATTTACCGGGATTGTTTCAAATTTCGCATGTGAAGTTCTTAATGGATACTTCAGCGCATGCCAGAAAATTGTCAGTGCAGGTCCACGTCTTCGTATAGCCCCCATATAACGGTACCCCCTATATTCGGTGTTTTGATAATTTTAGCTACATTATAGACAGATTTTTCTTCAAGTTTCGCATTCAAATATTGTAATAACTTATGACAGGCCCACGTCGTCGTATAGGCATTCGGTATTCTTAAGATATTAACAGAATTTTTAACGGATTTTATTTTTTGGAAATTGCCAAATTTGTACCAAATGGTGGAGGTTATTAAAAGTTCGGCCCGGCCGAACTTACAGCTTTTTTACTTGTTAAAATGTGTTTCCGCAAACTTGCTTTGATTGAAATTTAAAGTTTTATGTTATGCTATCAAATATTCTATTAATGTACTGCGTACCTGATGAAAACTCGACCTTTTTTCCCAAGTTTTTTTTTATGATTTTTATACCCTACACCATAGTATGGAGGGTATATTAAGTTTGATATTCCGTTTGTAACACATCGAAATATACATAGACTCCACAAAGTATACATATTTCAATTTCTCCAGATCCACGTTTTATAACCACCTTGGTACCTCCCTATATTCGAGGATTTTGACGATTTTATCTACATTGTAAACAGATTTTTTTCAAGTTTCGCATTTGAATATTGTGATATAAGTTGCCTTGTGACAAAAGTTGCCTATGCAGGTCCACGTCGCCATATAGACTCTAATATACGGCTACATGATTTTAACAGAATTTTAAAATCCTTTTATTTTTTTTTTAAATTGTTAAATTCGTACCAAATGGTGGAGGGTATTCAAAGTTCGGCCTGGCCGAACTTACAGCTTTTTTACTTGTTACTTGTTAAAATGTGTTTCCGCAAACTTGCTTTGCTTGAAATTTAAAGTTTAATGTTATGCTATCAAATATTCTATTAATGTACTGCGTACCTGATGAAAACTCGATCTTTTCTCCCAAGTTTTGTTTTATGATTTTTATACCCTACACCATAGTATGGAGGGTATATTAAGTTTGATATTCCGTTTGTAACACATCGAAATATACATAGACTCCACAAAGTATACATATTCTTGATCAGCATAAAATTCTATGTCGACTCTAGCTTCCGAACGAAATGAAGTAGGTTGATAAAATTTTACTCAAATGTAAATTATGTTGCAGGACTTTTGGTATTTAAATGGGCCATGTAGGTCACGTTTTGATATAGCCCCCATATAATGATACCTCCCTATTTTCGGTATTTTGATGATTTTAGCGACATTATTCACCGGAATTTTTTTAAGTTTAACATAAAAAATTCGTAATGGATACAACAGCCTACGACAGAAAATTGTCTATACATCTCCACGCCTTCGTCTTACCCCCATATAAAAGAACCAACTGAAATTTGGTACTTGAAGTTCGTAATCGACACTGCAGCCTAAGACAGAAAATTGTCTTTACTGGTCCACGTCTTTGTATAGCCTCCATATAACGGTATTTTGATGATTTTAGCGACTTTTTTCACCAGAATTGTTTCAAATTTGTTATTAGAAGTTCCCAATGAATACTACAGTTTACGTCAGAAATTTTCTCTGCAGGTCCTCGTCTTCGTAAAGCCCCCACATAACGGTACCTCCCTATTTTCGTTATCTTACTGATATTAGCGACATTATTCACCGGAATTATTTCAAATTTGTTATTAGAAGTTCGCAATGAATACCACATCCTAAACCAGAAAATTGTCTGTGCAGGTCCACGTCTTCGTATAGTGCATATATAATGGTAACTCCCGATATTTGGTATTTTGACGAGTTTAGCGACATTATTCCCCGGAATTGTTTCCAATGCGGTATTTGAAGTTCGTAACGGATACTACAGCCTACGACAAAAATCGTCTATGCAGGTCCATGTCCAAATAACGGTACCTCCCGGTATTCGTTATTTTGATTTTAGTAACATTATTCACAGGAATTGTTTCAAATTTGGTATTTACAACCCTTTATGAATAATACAGCCTATGACAGAAACTGCATGTGCATGTCCACGTTTTTGTATAGCCCCCACATGATGGTACATCCCTTTATTCGGTATTATGATGATTTTAGCTACATTAATCACAGAATTTCATTCACCGGAAATGTTTCAAATTTGGTATTTGAAGTTCGCAATGAATACTATCAAATATTCTATTAATGTACTGCGTACCTGATTAAAACTCGATCTTTTCTTCCAAGTTTTGTTTTAGGATTTTTATACCTTACACCATAGTATGGTGGTATGGTATATTAAGTTTGGCATTCCGCTTGTAACACCTCGAAATATACATTTTAGATCAGCATAAACTTCTATGTCGAGTTAGCGATGTCCGTCCGACAGTGGAATTAACTCTAGCTTCCGAACGAAATAAAGTAGGTTGACAATATTTTAGCCAAATGTAAAATATATTGCACGACTTTTGGTATTTAAAATGGGCCCTCACCATTTTCGGTATTTTGATGATTTTAGCGGCATTATTCAGCGGAATTGTTTCAAGTTTAGTATTTAAAATTCGTAATGAATACTACAGAATATGCCAGAAAATTGTCTGTGCAGCTCCACGTCTTCGTATAGTTCCCATCTAACGGTACCTCCTGATATTCGGTATTTTGATGATTTTAGCGATATTATTCACCGGAATTGTTTCAAATTTGGTATTTGAAGTTCGCAATGAATACTACAGCCTACGACAGAAAATTGTCTATGCAGGTCCGTCTGTCTGTTGTAATCACGATATCTTTCGAACGAATTGAGATAGAAGGCTAAAATTTTGCATACATGCATAGTTTACCAGTAGGCAGATTAAGGTTGTAAATGGGTCATGTCGGTTCACGTTTTCGTATAGCCCCCATGTAACGGTACCTCCCGATATTTGGTATTTTGATGATTTTAGTGATATTATTCCCCGGAATTGTTTCAAATTTCGTATTTGAAGTTCGTAATGGGTACAGGTGCACGTCTTTGTATAGTCCCCATATAACGGTTTTCATTTAGGTGGTAGTTTTAGGATTTTTTTTTAATTTTATCAATTTCCTTCGAAATGGAGGAGGGTATTAAAAGTTTGGTCCGGCCGAACTTAGATTCTTTTTTGCTTGTTAACATTATAAAAGAATTTTTGATGGATTTAATTTTTTGAAAATTGCCAAATTCGTTCCAATGGTGGGGGGTTTTCACGGCACGGCCGAACATATAGTTTGTTTACTTGTTTGTTTTTAGAAATAATGGAGTTTTTGCTGGTCTGGGGATGGATTCTTTTTCTACAATAGTGAACATTTAATCAACTATTTAAATTATATGTAATTTTGAACGTATTAAATAACGTTTTTGTCGGGTCCTCTTCTATCTCGTCAACAACAATAAAATCCACAATTATGGGATTAATCCCATCTATTTTGCAAAACCAAAATGCCATCGGGCTGCTGTACAAGAATGCAAACACTGGTTGAGTTAGGAATCTCCGATATTCAGATCAGTGGAAAAAATCGAGAAATCGTAAGAAAATATGTACATTGAGCTAAACAGAGGCATAAATATAGAAAGCATACATGTAAGTGCCAATATAATTATTAAAAATAAAATTAGCTTTATTATATCTAAACTAGATACATTTGAAACTCAAAAATACTGAGACAACTCTGTATACCAAATTTTGATCATATAGAAAGCATACATGTAAATGCCAATATAATTATTAAAAATAAAATTAGTTTTATTATATCTAAACTAGATACATTTGAAACTCAAAAATACTGAGACAACTCTGTATACCAAATTTTGATCGATTTTTCTCAAGTCGGAAAGATTGGGAGATTGATATGCTTCGAAGATTTACCCATTTTTTAAGTAGATTTTGGCGGATAGTAACATGTTTATTTTTTCTTTGTACTTTTTGAGTCCATTTTGAAACAGATTTTCGGAATTTCAGCAAACGTTTTGTGCAATATAAATAAATATATGTACACAAATTTAGAGCAATACCTCTTCGTGGTCGCTTCATATTATTGAAAAAGGATGTAATTTTCTCCCGTTTAATACGAATTTTCAAGATGTGTTTCCGCAAACTTGCTTTGATTGAAATTGAAAGTTTTATGTTATGCTACCAAATATTCTATTAATGTACTGCGTACCTGATTAAAACTCAATCTTTTCTTGCAAGTTTTGTTTTAGGATTTTTATACCTTACACCATAGTACGGAGGTAACACCTCGAAATATACATTTTAGACCCAACAAAGTATACATATTCTTGATCAGCATATACTTCTATGGCGAGTTAGCGATGTCCGTCCGACAGTGGAATTTACTCTAGCTTCCGAACGAAATAAAGTAGGTTGATAATATTTTACCCAAATATAAAATGTAAATCTTCTATAGCCCCCATATAACGGCACAACCCCATATTCGGTATTTCTATGATTTTAGCGACATTATTCACCGGAATTGTTTCAAATTTGGTATATGAAGTTCGTAATAGATACTACACCCTTTGACAGAAAATTGTCTGTGCAGGTCAACGTCTTCATGTAGCCCCCATATAACGGCACCACACAATGTTCGGTATTTTGGTTATGTTAGCGACATTATTCACCGGAATTGTTTAAAATTTGGTATTTGAAATTCGCAAAGCATACTACTGCCTACGACAGAAAATTGTCTGTGCAGGTCAACGTCTTCATGTAGCCCCCATATAACGGCACCACACGATGTTCGGTATTTTGGTTATGTTAGCGACATTATTCACCGGAATTGTTTCAAATTTCGTGTTTGAAGTTCCCAATGAATACTACAGCTTACGTCAGAAAATTTTCTCTGCAGGTCCTCGTCTTCGCAAAGCCCCTACATACCGGTACCCTCCTATTTCCGGTATCTTGATAATTTTAGCGACATTATTCACTGTAATTGTTTCAAATTTGATATTTTAAGCTCGTAATGCCTACGACAGAAAATTATCTCTGCAGGACCACGCCTTCGTCTAGCCCCCACACGACAGCAACTCCTGATATTTGGTACTTGAAGTTCGTAATGGATGCTGCAGCCTAAGACAGAAATTTGTCTTTACAGATCCACATCTTCGTACAGACCCTATATAATGGTACCTCCCTATTTTCGTTATCTTATCTGCCTGTACATGTCCACGTTTTTGTATAGCCCCCACATGATGGTACATCCCTTTATTCGGTATTATGATGATTTTAGCTACATTAATCACAGAATTTCATTCACCGGAACTGTTTCAAATTTGGCATTTGAAGTTCGCAATGAATACTATCAAATATTCTATTAATGTACTGCGTACCTGATTAAAACTCGACCTTTTCTTCCAAGTTTTGTTTTAGGATTTTTATAACTTACACCATAGTATGGTGGTATGGTATATTAAGTTTGGCATTCCGCTTGTAACACCTCGAAATATACATTTTAGATCAGCATAAACTTCTATGTCGAGTTAGCGATGTCCGTCCGACAGTGGAATTAACTCTAGCTTCCGAACGAAATAAAGTAGGTTGATAATATTTTACCCAAATGTAAATTATATTGCAGGACTTTTGGTATTTAAAATGGGTATTTTGATGATTTTAGCGGCATTATTCAGCGGAATTGTTTCAAGTTTAGTATTTAAAATTCGTAATGGATACTACAGAATATGCCAGAAAATTGTCTGTGCAGTTCCACGTCTTCGTATAGTTCCACGTCTTCGTATAGTTCCCATCTAACGGTACCTCCCGATATTCGGTATTTTGATGATTTTAGCGATATTATTCACCGGAATTGTTTCAAATTTGGTATTTGAAGTTCGCAATGAATACTACAGCCTACGACAGAAAATTGTCTATGCAGGTCCGTCTGTCTGTTGTAATCACGATATCTTTCGAATGGATTGAGATAGAAGGCTAAAATTTTGTATAAATTTAAATTTTGCATGCATAGTTTACCAGTAGGCAGGTTAAGGTTGTAATTGGGTCATGTCGGTTCAGGTTTTCGTATAGCCCCCATGTAACGGTACCTCCCGATATTTGGTATTTTGATGATTTTAGCGATATTATTCCCCGGAATTGTTTCAAATTTCGTATTTGAAGTTCGTAATGGGCACTACAGCCTATGACAAAAAAAAATCGTGTACAGGTGCACGTCTTTGTATAATCCCCATATAACGGTTTTCATTTTTTTAATTTTATCAATTTCCTTCGAAATGGAGGAGGGTATTAAAAGTTTGGTCCGGCCGAACTTAGATTCTTTTTTGCTTGTTAACATTATAAAAGAATTTTTGATGGATTTAATTTTTTGAAAATTGCCAAATTCGTTCCAATAGTGGGGGGTATTCACGGCACGGCCGAAAATATAGTTTGTTTACTTGTTTGTTTTTAGAAATAATGGAGTTTTTGCTGGTCTGGGGATGGATTCTTTTTCTACAATAGTGAACATTTAATCAACTATTTAAATTATATGTAATTTTGAACGTATTAAATAACGTTTTTGTCGGGTCCTCTTCTATCTCGTCAACAACAATAAAATCCACAATTATGGGATCAATCCCATCTATTTTGCAAAACCAAAATGCCATCGGGCTCCTGTACAAGAATGCAAACACTGGTTGAGTTAGGAATCTCCGATATTCAGATCAGTGGAAAAAATCGAGAAATCGTAAGAAAATATGTACATTGAGCTAAACAGAGGCATAAATATAGAAAGCATACATGTAAGTGCCAATATAATTATTAAAAATAAAATTAGCTTTATTATATCTAAACTAGATACATTTGAAACTCAAAAATACTGAGACAACTCTGTATACCAAATTTTGATCATATAGAAAGCATACATGTAAGTGCCAATATAATTATTAAAAATAAAATTAGTTTTATTATATCTAAACTAGATACATTTGAAACTCAAAAATACTGAGACAACTCTGTATACCAAATTTTGATCGATTTTTCTCAAGTCGGAAAGATTGGGAGATTGATATGCTTCGAAGATTTACCAATTTTTTAAGTAGATTTTGGCGGATAGTAACATGTTTATTTTTTCTTTGTACTTTTTGAGTCCTTTTTGAAACAGATTTTCGGAATTTCAGCAAACGTTTTGTGCAATATAAATAAATATATGTACACAAATTTAGAGCAATACCTCTTCGTGGTCGCTTCATATTATTGAAAAAGGATGTAATTTTACGAATTTTCAAGATGTGTTTCCGCAAACTTGCTTTGATTGAAATTGAAAGTTTTATGTTATGCTACCAAATATTCTATTAATGTACTGCGTACCTGATTAAAACTCAATCTTTTCTTGCAAGTTTTGTTTTAGGATTTTTATACCTTACACCATAGTACGGAGGTAACACCTCGAAATATACATTTTAGACCCAACAAAGTATACATATTCTTGATCAGCATATACTTCTATGGCGAGTTAGCGATGTCCGTCCGACAGTGGAATTTACTCTAGCTTCCGAACGAAATAAAGTAGGTTGATAATATTTTACCCAAATATAAAATGTAAATCTTCTATAGCCCCCATATAACGGCACAACCCCATATTCGGTATTTCTATGATTTTAGCGACATTATTCACCGGAATTGTTTCAAATTTGGTATATGAAGTTCGTAATAGATACTACACCCTTTGACAGAAAATTGTCTGTGCAGGTCAACGTCTTCATGTAGCCCCCATATAACGGCACCACACGATGTTCGGTATTTTGGTTATGTTAGCGACATTATTCACCGGAATTGTTTAAAATTTGGTATTTGAAATTCGCAAAGCATACTACTGCCTACGACAGAAAATTGTCTATGCAGGTCCACGCCTTCGTATAGTCCCCATATCATGGTACCACCCGATATTCGGTGTTTTGATGATTTTAGCGACATTATTAACCGGAATTGTTTCAAATTTCGTGTTTGAAGTTCCCAATGAATACTACAGCTTACGTCAGAAAATTTTCTCTGCAGGTCCTCGTCTTCGCAAAGCCCCCACATAACGGTACCCTCCTATTTCCGGTATCTTGATAATTTTAGCGACATTATTCACTGTAATTGTTTCAAATTTGATATTTTAAGCTCGTAATGCCTACGACAGAAAATTATCTCTGCAGAACCACGCCTTCGTCTAGCCCCCACCCGACAGCAACTCCTGATATTTGGTACTTGAAGTTCGTAATGGATACTGCAGCCTAAGACAGAAATTTGTCTTTACAGATCCACGTCTTCGTACAGACCCTATATAATGGTACCCCCCGATATGCGGTATTTTGATGATTTTAGCGACATTATTTAACGGAATCGTTCCAAATTTGGTATTTGAAGTTCGTAATAGATACTGCAGCATAAAATAGAAAAAGGGCCATGTAGGTCCACGTCTTCGTATAGCCCCCATATACCATACCCCCCGATATTCGGTATTTTGCTGATTGTAGCGACATTTTTTACAGGAATCGTTTCAAAGTTGGCATTTGAAGTTCGTAATATATGCTGCAGCATTAAACAGAATTTCAAATTTCGAATGTGAAGTTCGTAATGGATACTTCAGCCCATGCCAGAAAATTGTCTGTGCAGGTCCACGTCTTCGTATAGCCCCCATATAACGGTACCCGGTATATGGGGGTATTTTAATGATTTTAGCTACATTATAAACAGATTTTTCTTCAAGTTTCGCATTTAAATATTGTAATAACTTATGACAAAAGTTGCCTATGCAGGCCCACGTCGTCGTATAAGCATTCTGCATTCTTAAGATATTAACAGAATTTTTAACGGATTTTATTTTTTGGAAATTGCCAAATTTGTACCAAATGGTGGAGGGTATTAACAGTTCGGCCCGGCCCAGCCCGGAACTTACAGCTTTTTTACTTGTTAAAATGTGATTCCGCAAACTTGCTTTGATTGAAATTTAAAGTTTAATGTTATGCTATCAAATATTATATTAATGTACTGCGTACCTGATGAAAACTCGATCTTTTCTCCCAAGTTTTGTTTTATGATTTTTATACCCTACACCATAGTATGGAGGGTATATTAAGTTTGATATTCCGTTTGTAACACATCGAAATATACATAGACTCCACAAAGTATACATATTCTTGATCAGCATAAAAGTCT